AATATATGTCAAGAGTTAACACAGTGTATATGTTACAGTAATAAATGTCAAGATTTAACACAGTGTACATGTAACAGTAATAAGGGTCAAGAGTTAACACTGTGTACATGTAACAGTAACAGGCAAAAGTGTATTGATGCTGAAGAAGCACGATGCCGAAAATATGTGGCTCACAATTTATCAATCATACCTGGTATTTCAATGTAGTATTCGTCGCTTAACAATAAACGTGATACATACTGAAAATTACCTGAATGTTCTACTGTTTCATGTAATACCTAGTACTAGTTACTCGCAATCGTCAAATTATGGTGTGTGTGAGCTTAAAAATATATAATTCCTTTCAGATTTAAAGCATCTTTACAGAAAAATGTCCAATATTCTCAATGTTAATCTCTCGTCAGTGACGAGTCTTAAGACGGAACACATGTATAATGCAATTCAATTAGCTGTGCTGTATCTTATTTTAAAATCTTTTTGAAATTATGCTATTCGCGTAAATGTCCGTTGTAAATATTTCTAATTGGCTAGTTAATTGTTCTGACATGGTAGATACTCAGGTCGGACGTAAGTGATGTAACACTAATACTCCCGGACAATGGCGGAACATATCGATTCAAATAAAACAGAGCACCAGATTTGCCTCGGCAATAGATAGGATTTAGTACGAATATGATCCAAAGGTTGGCGCAACTGTAAAATGTTTGCTCAGAGGTGATAAGTGTTTCCATGGCAACAGACAGATGTTAAATCTCTGATAATTGATTTTGTAAGAAAACTTCAGCAGACTGCAGGTAACATGACATGAAGTTGATCACGATAGAATGAATAAATGAAAACTGTAAAATATTGTCAGATCAGTCAAATATGATCGTTTCCATTGATTGATTAATAATGTATACTGTTTAAGTTCGCTAGCTTTTGATACGTGTACAATGTGTTGACTACTAATACTTGCTCCTAGTGAATGTACACTGTGTTAACTCTTGACACTGATTACTGTTACATGTACACTGTGTTAACTCTTGACATCTATTACTGTTACATGTACACTGTGTTAACTCTTGACATCTATTACTGTTACATGTACACTGTGTTAACTCTTGACATCTATTACTGTTATATGTACACTGTGTTAACTCTTGACATCTATTACTGTTACATGTACACTGTGTTAACTCTTGACACTGATTACTGTTACATGTACACTGTGTTAACTCTTGACACTTATTACTGTTACATGTACACTGTGTTAACTCTTGACACTGATTACTATTACATGTACACTGTGTTAACTCTTGACATCTATTACTGTTACATATACACTGTGTTAACTCTTGACACTGATGACTGTTACATGTACTCTGTGTTAACTCTTGACACTGATGACTGTTACATGTACACTGTGTTAACTCTTGACACTGATTACTATTACATGTACACTGTGTTAACTCTTGACATCTATTACTGTTACATATACACTGTGTTAACTCTTGACACTGATGACTGTTACATGTACACTGTGTTAACTCTTGACATCTATTACTGTTACATATACACTGTGTTAACTCTTGACACTGATGACTGTTACATGTACTCTGTGTTAACTCTTGACACTGATGACTGTTACATGTACACTGTGTTAACTCTTGACACTGATTACTATTACATGTACACTGTGTTAACTCTTGACATCTATTACTGTTACATATACACTGTGTTAACTCTTGACACTGATGACTGTTACATGTACTCTGTGTTAACTCTTGACACTGATGACTGTTACATGTACACTGTGTTAACTCTTGACACTGATTACTACTTTACATGTACACTGTGTTAACTCTTACATGTTACATATACACTGTGTTAACTCTTGACACTGATGACTGTTACATGTACTCTGTGTTAACTCTTGACACTGATGACTGTTACATGTACACTGTGTTAACTCTTGACACTGATTACTATTACATGTACACTGTGTTAACTCTTGACATCTATTACTGTTAGATATACACTGTGTTAACTCTTGACACTGATTACTGTTACATGTACACTGCGTAAACTATTGACACTTATTACTGTTACATCTACACTGTGTTAACTCTTGACATTTATTACTGTTACATGTACACTGTGTTAACTATTGACATCTATTACTGATACATGTACACTGTGTTAACTCTTGATACTTATTACTGTTACATGTACACTGTGTTAACTCTTGACACTGATTACTGTTACATGTAAACTGTGTTAACTCTTGACATTTATTACTGTTACATGTACACTGTGTTAACTATTGACATCTATTACTGTTACATGTACACTGTGTTAACTCTTGACACTTATTACTGTTACATGTACACTGTGTTAACTCTTGACATCTATTACTGTTATATGTACACTGTGTATGGTAGCATACGCCTATTGTAGTATTGTTCCTATGTTTGGTAGGGTTATATGCCTCCTTTGATATTGTTTCTGAATTGCTATGGCAACATACGATTTTTGAAGTGCCGTTTCTTGATTGTTATGATAGCGAAAGCATCTTACAGTATTGTTATTGTACTTTACAGGCGTAAAAGAATGGAATTCTCTTCCAGATTATATTAAAAGTATACCAAACAAGCTTAAGTTCAAAATCCAAGTGAAACGTCACTTTCAAAACAAAAGAGAAACATTATAGTTATTATGAATATTATTGATGGAAATATATTTGTAAATCCATTTTAAGGACCCCAATGGAAATAAGCGTTTCAACGCTTTTTTGAGAAATCCTAGGATATATGTACTTTTGTCTTTACTTATAAATATCACTAGCTGATACATTAAAGATGTAGCAAACAACTTATTCATGATTATGTATAACATGTTATATGTGCCATATATTCATATGTTTTGTATACAAATCTGTACATCTTTATCCTGAATAAATTAATTATCATTATTATTATTATTATTATAGCGAAAAGCCTCTTACAGTTTAGTTTTTGGATTGCTATGGTAACAAACGCCTCTTGTAGTATAGCTTTTGAACCGCTATGGTGGCATACGGCTATTTTAGAATTGTTTCTGGATTGCTATGGTAACAAACGCCTCTTCTAGTATTATTTCTGAATTGATATGGTAGCATACGTCACCACTTACGATATTATTTCTGGATTGTTGTGATATTTTACGTACTTGCATTGCTATGGTAATATGCTCATCTGTTCGTCACTGGGTCACCCTTGTAAGCCTACAGATATACACAAGGTGATAAAGTATAATCATTAATTTAGATGAAATATTCCTTAACATATATTTAATCTACCCGCGCGGTCGAAATTTCTCATTAAAAGAATGTAAATGTCAGCTTAGCCACAGAAGTGCATTTAAAGTTTTGGGAGATTCATGTTGAAAGCACAAATGACAATTTTACCATTATAATGGATTTAACCAGAAGGCACTATTATCTCTTGTTGGTCTGGAGATAGTTAAAATATTATGACAAGGATAGGGTTTGCCACAAACCAAATATCACAGATCAGCCAGCGTGTTAACAAATTGTCTCCTACTTTTGTCATTAACAAACATCAAATTGCGCCGTAGGAGTTACACACCAATTTATGCAGCACTTATCAGGGTTTTTTTTTTACCTGAGGTATCCAATCACAACAAAGCTATTTCCGACACTTTGGAATAATCTCACTGTGGGTACATTATTACATATTCCAACTTTCAATAACATAAACATCCGCTATATTTTATAATTAGATCCAGGTTTTAGAATGTTTATTCATAGGGTACGAATCATACTCACATTCAAAATGATCTTAGATAGTAAAGTACCCCTCAATTACTATTTATGGAACCGGAAATACAATGCACTTACTATCAATAAAAACCCCAATTATATAAAAAAAAATTATATTCCCTTTGATTTTTTTAGATGTTAAAATTAATATTAAAAATATTCTTCTTTCTTAACATTTTACACATGCTATATTTTTCACAATAGGTTTTGCTTTATAGTCAGTAATCCATACAGAAAAAATCCACGGCTTGACGTTTAAACGCACGGTATTGGTAATGTTTGTATTGGTTAAATATTTGCGAGCCCGTTTTTAGATTACTTGTAGCCATGCCAAGGTCCCTGTTCATGCACATTCCTCTATCCTAAAAGTGTGAAGAAATGCTTTGTTTCAGTTTGTGATGAGCAGGTCTCTGCTCAGTTGTTTGATGAGCATAATGATTTTAGTTTCTTAAAAGTTGTTCCAGACATGTAATATTTACAGGAGGTAACTACTTCACTGTTCAATAGCTTGTTACCGATATCGTTATTGAATACATCACAAAGATGTAAGGAGCAGGTTGATGAAGACCAGGGAGAGGTTTGACAGTTACCACAAACATCACGGTGTTAGTCATTAGTGTGTCATTGTTCAACCTTTTCTAACGATTTCAGAACCGGAAATTTATTTCTGGCGTTGGCATGGTGACGGACGCTATTGTAATTGTCATTGCCGATGTATTTCTAAATAGACTGTTGTGATAAAAACCTACTGATTGACAAACACACGAAATACGATTAAAATATGTTAATATGCATGTAAATTGCAGTTTTGTAAATAATATTTCAGACCTTCTGATTTGTCTGGTGTTTGTTATAGTAGCTATTAAACTTTGTGTTTTGTTGTATTTTACAGATGCCTCTGGGTGGACTTAAATAATGGGAATTTCCACAGCAGCATGCTAGCGATCTGGTTTCATCTTACCTGTAGGAGTTTTAATGGAGCAATGAGTTTGTAGTTTTCATTATCGGGATTAATTAGTGTTGATGACGCATTTAATCTGAATAATTTCAAGTGTATAAAATCAATAGTGAAAGTTAAGCTCTTGTGGATCACTTCAAACATCTGTCTAAAGGAGGTGCTGCTTTTGCGAAACTGATGTAATAGCGGATCAATCTGTGTATACGACACGTCAGGATGGTGTAAAAATATAGATTTCCCATGGAATATTCCGTGCTCCGACCCAAATCTGCCAAACATAATTATCGGAATCGTGCCCCGCAGCCAAAATCGGCTCGAACAGGATCTGTCGGAAATAAATCGGAATCACATGATCCACCAAACTTATATCCGGAAAAGTCAACAGATCCTGACAGGAAGCGATTGGAATCGGCTCGTCCAAAGAGCGCGCATTCGCGAGCAAAAAGTCGTGGTGGGATAGTTGTTGATATCGTAAAGTCTCAGAACAGTGTCTATACCGACATCACTGTGATTGCAGGTGGTGAAGACACGTCCGAGACACTCAAGCAGTCGCATACGGGGAAATCAAATCTGAAAAGAAGCGAGAAGACAAAAAAATTAAGTGAAAATAATCATGGCAAAGTGCCAGTAAACAAAATGGCTACTAATAACACGAAGGAGAATCATTCAACGGGAAATGTCAAAATGGTGGCGCATCATGTTACACACAAGGCTGAGAGAATCACGCGCTGCTACTATCGACCTTTGACCCCAATCATCATAAATGAGGACGAGTATTACGCTAATTTGGATCCCGTGGACTATTTCAATGACCCCACTATACAGGACCTACCTATGTTTAAAGAGAAACCAAAGACTACAGAAAAGGCTCAGATACATACAATGCAATTACCGACAAGCCTGAATATTAAAGACACGCCTCAATATCAGGGCAAAACAAGGGTATGGTCGGAATCAAATAAATCATTAGTGACTCGTAAAAAGTACGTGAACACAAAAAACTCCGTATACGCGATGTTTTTTGATGATGGAGCAAATGCAGACACTAAAAGGCATCGACGACCTTTAACGGATGACAAAGTAATCATGCAGAGCACAAAAACGCTACAAAATGACAGCGTTGTCGGAAACCCCTTGAGTGTAAAAAAGTCCAGATTAACAAAAGTAGATGGTCATAAACTTCTTGGTAACCGCGCTAATAACACACGTGGATCGCCTGGAAACGAGAAGAGTTGGATTCCCAGGTATAATGCGTTCGTAAACAATACACCTGCATTATCTACTTTAGACAAAACCGGAAGTCGTGGTGTTAACTTTGCTCAAGTTCAACCATCAAAGGATCCTAAAGCTAAATATACATATGAAATTCGGCCTTTCTCTGAAGGAGTAAATATTCTTGCAGGGAACGAAATGCTTCGATACCGCGCCAAACCGGAATTATATAACTCCAAATACAATGTTGACAAATTATTAGCAAAACACAAGAAAAAATGTGGAAATTTTCCTAACGGATTTGATTTGAAGCCACGGCGAAACAACCTGGTTGGTCCAGAATGCATGGAAGTGAAACACCCAGGAACAATACATGGACATGTGACGTCACGGCCAAGGAAGTTAAAACCGATACAGGCAGTTCATAAAACCTGAACTTTCTCTTTCATTGTCTTTTCAGGTTTTATCAAGTAATGAGGAGGTACATGATCAGGTATTTTTCTGAATTAATTTTGATTATTTGTATCCGGTGTTGCTCTTGGACGAACTATTATGTTAACAATAAGGGCACTTGTCATATATTTATGATATATTTTTACTGAATTGATGATAACCCTGACGTAATAGACACATTTAACAAAAAAAAAAAAAAAAAAAAATTAAACATGGGTAATGTCTTCAAATCGATCATTGTCAATCGATAATCGATTTTATTATCGTGGAGGTGAATCACCATTTTAATTTATAAATGGGACACTTCTGGTACTTGGTGTTTATATCGGTGATATATGATATCCATTTGACATGAACAAATACTTGTTTATGAAAACAATTAGTTGGCTACATGAAAAACATTTGTTTTATGTACATCATTAGTTTTGAAGCGAGAGTTGCGTAGAAATCGCCGCTTAATAGATCATGGCGAGTGTCATGATCAAAGATAAATTAGACATTAACGGTCACGACAGACATAACCTGTATTGTTTGAGATATCGTGATTTACACACATGTAATCAACTGAAATATGTGTGATTATACGCCGTCATTCATACAATAACTCAAATCAAGAAATCTAAATTAAAGTAATTCTATATTTCATTCATTCATGATCGTAATAACTGCTTTTGTCTCTTCCGCGGTTCCTGAATAAATCTACGATGTTTACAATATCCGGAAACTGTGTCATGCAAATGTTTATACGATATAGCATTGCATGGGTACGGAAGCGTATTCCGGCCACGTTGCGTTTTATTTCAACTCGAAATTTCGAGATAGTAACTCGAAATTTTGAGTTAATTATCCGAAATTTTGAGATATTAACCCGAAATTTCGAGATAGCAACTCGAGTTAGTCATCCGAAATTTTGAGTTAGTAAGTCGAAATTTCGAGTTAGTCATCCGAAATTTTGAGTTAGTAAGTCGAAATTTCGAGTTCAGACAAGTATATCTATCTTTGCTTAATTCATATAGTGCCATATTACCATAATAAAATGTTTTTATAAGTTACCTCATTCTGTTATGGAAGAACAATTGACATAGTGACAGAGGCGATGATCAGTTTTGTTATTTTTGTTACTGTTTTTGCAGTTTGCAATGTTAACTTATTATAGGTTAATGTATATGTTACAATGAAGTGGAACATTATTGAAAATAACTTTACACTTAAAACTTAATTTTGATGTGTCTTCTTGTTATTGATTATAGTCTTGACCTCGTTACAATTTAAACTTTTCAATTTTCCCATAAACTCAGAAAAATGCATAAATATGTCGATACATCAACGCGTGAATATAGATAAAAATAAGTGCGCGTTCTTATTGAAACATGTAAGGACATTTGAATACTACTGTCTATATACAGTCCTTATATACAAGGTGTTATAAAGTTGCCGCTCGTTAATGTACGTAATGGTTTCGTTGCTGTTAACTTTGAAGAGTAACATTATTTCGACATGGCCTTACTTTTCTTCTGCTTTTTTGTTCAAATTGCTCTCATGGAAATGTTTTTATTTAACTTGTAGTTACATTTTCAGAAAAAAATACATTACATAGATTAACAGACATCTCTTGTTTCTTCTGCACGAACTCCATATTTTAACACACGCATCGCTACCCTGTGAAATCGATGATCTCCCCATCGCACTATCATATATATGGGTATATGGTATACACAGATCTCAGCAGGAAGTCATGTTCCTGTGAATTATAAATTAAGTGTCTTATCATTAAGCAAATGTTCTTATCCACCATCTTCAATCAATTTAAGTAAATGTACGTACATAGTCGCACGTAATGATGTCAGTACGTATGTCCTTGAGACAACACAGCACGACACTGCCAACACGTTTCATTTACTCAGGCCAGCTGTAGATCTGAATACAATGTCATTATACGACCTAGTAGTGGTCATATTTTGAAAGAGAACTCATTTCCATGCCTCTTTTCAATAGATCATGCGCATATTCTGAATTAATCACGTTATACATCCACCAGTCTTTCTTGTCTTCCTCATCAGAAATTTTTGACACCTTAATACAACTCATTAATTTGTTTTAATCATGATATATGTGCTATTAAGAAAGTATTCAATCTTAGTTCTAATACAAAAAGTAGGTACATTTATATAATAGCACTAACCCCTACTTCAAACACAACTCATAGGTATGATTGTAAGACAGAATACATTTTCAATTCTAACATAAAGCACAGGTATAAAAATATCATTCACTTTTACATCTAACACAAATCGGAAGTAAAATTAGCAGATAGAATTCACGTTTAGATTAAACACATACCAGAGGTATCAGTATAAGATAAAAATCACTCCTACTTTTAACACAAACTAGAGGTAAAATTATGAAAGAAATTTCACGCTTTCTTCTAAGACATATCACACTTCTAACACAAATAACGGGCGTTAACATAAGACAGCATTCAATCCTACTTTTAACACAAATCTAAGGTAGAATTATAGGAAAATATTCATTCTGGCTTCTTAAACAAATCCTAGATATAAAGATAAGATAACATTTATTCTCTCTTCATCTAATTCTAATATTTTTTATCGTGATAACGTTTAATTTTGAAGATTTGTAACAGGTTCAGGTATATAGGAACATTCTTTAAAAATATTATACTGATTTCGCTAAAATGTTAATGTTATATTTTTGCACTGTCGTTAATGGTGTTCTCGTCCTTCTATACTCTGATCTCTTCCTTATTGATGATGATGATGACGACGACGACGACGACGATGATGATGATGATGATGACGATGATGACGATGATGATGATGATGATGATGATGATGATGATGATGATGATGATGATGATGAACCTGGTACTAAACTATCTCACATAAAACTCATGTCAAGCTTTACCAAAATTGTTTTGTTATTAAATAGAAAATATGGCGATTTTTTATTTCATTTTCAGAATACATTTGCATGTGGGCATGATTAGTTTTCCAAGGAAAAATGTAGTTTTAATAAGATATTTTAAGAGCGTAGGCAAACAATATATTGTATTTTCATAATATATGAAGTTTCATTTGAAAAAAGAATAAGGATAACGAATTGTAGTTTAAATTGGTTGGTTTTGAACTTTTAAGTGGAAATGACTATCATTAGTACAGTTCCGTCATTTCATGCTAACATAGATAGAACATTTCCGATTTCTCGTAATTTAATCATTCGGACATTTCCGTCAGTTCGTTCTGACATCATTCGGACATTTCCGTCAGTTTGTTCTGTTATCATTCGCACATTTCCGTCAGTTCATTCTGACATCAGTCGGACATTTCCGTCATCTAAAACTGAAATTATTTGGGCACTTCCTTCACTTGGTCTCATTCTGACACCATTCGGACATTTCCGTCATCTCATACTGACATCGTGTTACGCGTTTGATTCGATAAAAGGAAACATTATGATAGAAAGATGACCGATGTGACGAGACGAACTGGCAGCCAGGAACGCACGACTTAAGACCTGGACAACAATGTTTATTTAGAGACTCTTCAATAATCTCAGAATAAACTACACTACTTAACTGGTATCAAGGTAATTAAAAACAACAGCGACGAGATATGATAAGCATTGTAAGTACCCTGTGATAATACTTATATCAGTGTTGTGTCTATATATATGTGTATGTATGTTATGTAACACTACACAGACGTTATATTGGCTGTACCATTAAACACACGTGTACCAAGTTATAAACTGTTCTGTTGTATTTATATCTCCATCCCCTTAGAATGAAAAATGTAAACATCAATCAATACACGATGGTAAGTGCAGTTTGAATAATAACAGCAATTTTAATGCATTTTGATATAGTTTGGTCAGTGACTGAAATTTTGCATTGTTTCCTTTTTTGTTATTGAACTGAGTTGAAGACACGCTAAACATAAATATGCAAGGTATGTGCCAGCGATATTGTTTTTTGTCTTTGCTTTATTTTCCAGAACTTGCAAACCTCAACAGTAACGACTCCTTTGCCACATCCGACTATAATTTACTGTTAATGGTATAACAAAATAAAAAATAAATAATAAAAAAAAAAAAAAAAAAACAAGATTCATTATAACTTTCCCAATTTCATCTTCATCAGTCATGTCGTACCTTAGATACAAAATGTATTATATGTATAATGTTGTTGTTTAGATGTACACACGGAAACAATTATTTACAATAAAGAATGGTTATTTATGCTTTCGCCCGCTGTAAATCAAACCGAATCACGTATGTACACGCATGATGTGTCCAACATTAAACATGGTAAGGAGACGAGAGACAACCATTGAAATCTATAAAAAATGTGGATATTAATTTCCGGTTTCTAGATCCAGATCATTGTGACAGGAAGTCCGTTTTGTGATTTAGACACACCCTAACCGTGTAGCCATCGGCCGCTGTATTTAACACGCGTTACTGTCAAGCAGACGGTTGATCACAAAGTTTAGGAGCTATTTTTGTAACCATTGCCGATCGATTTTAATTGGGATCGTAATTACCTTCCTGCTGGGATAATCAACAGTACACTGTTATTAGAGAGTGCGACTTGATTAGTCAACCAGATACGCTAGAGTAAAAAGGTGGAGAAAAATGGTGTTTACTTCTCTACGTTTTGGCAGGGACGTATCTGTATTATACGTCCCTGGTTTTGGTGTAGGTTGAAGTAAGAAGAATCGGTACACATAGCACTTGTGGGCAACTCCCAAGAATATACAGTAAAATCCTTGAACTTTATCAAAACAGTACAATACAATTACTACATATGATTTTTGATAATTCTGCTCCCTCTCTGAGCGATATTTCATGAAATGAGTTTTTTTAAGTTGACGAGACTTTTCGAGCAAAGAATCAAAATAAAAGAATTAAAACATAAAATCATCAAAGAAAACGCTCAAATGTATATACAAAAATATTCCATT